CCTAGGACCACTTGCATGCTCTCCAGTCATTCGAGGTAAACATCTGCCTTAATTGCACTTTCCTCGAATGTATGCTATCTAGGCATAAGTGCTAGGTGGCAAATCTCGTGACCCCAGGCCTCACAATCTCTTTATTCTTTGTAAATCCATGCATCATGCTGAGGGTGAGATGGTGATCATAAATGAAATTTGTAACTGACTTTGCCTACTTCACTGCATCTGATATCTCAGTTAAACCGTCATGAGCCTCAAGCATGAGGTCTATACAATGTGCTGCACATAGTGTCCAAAAGATTTTAGGATAAGCTATGCGCAACAAATTAGCTGCAGCAACATTAGGAGCAGCATTGTTTGTGACAACTTGTACAACAAATTACCTTCTCTATAACTTGGAATATGTAATGGGCATCGTGGATATAATCAGAGGCATCAATAGACCTCAAAAAAAGTCCCCAAAGGATAATTCTCAAGCAAATTCATATGACTTCTGCTTTTCCTATCACTCCAAGCATCAGTCATAATAGAACATATTGAGCCCATGCATCCTTCTTAACTTCTACAGCTACCTTCGTGACACTCACCGTCTTTTTCAAAAGAGGCTCTGAAAGCTCATATGGGGTTGGGGGTTTCATCGCATATCCAAATTGGCCAATTGCCTCTAGCGCGGCATAGAAGCTGCTTAAGCGAGCGGTATTGAAAGGAATGCTCGCCTCATAAAACCATGTAGCAAGATAATAAGCAGCTCTATCTTTCACTTCCTTCTTTATTCTATTTTCAATGGTGGTTTGCTTCTTTGTTTTCTCTCCTACAACCTCAGGGTCAAGGTGAGGCAAAAAACTATCCATAGGGTCTCTAACCCGAAGCTTCCTACTCTCAGAACCAGAAGCAATTACAACTCCCTTTTCCTTTCCCCTAATAATGGATTGTTCTACTTCTACCACTTGATATCTCTCCCCAATCCCATCCCCCTCACTATAGTCATCATCATAATTGACCCAAACCCTAGACTAATTTCTGCTATGGAGGCAAATCTCTCATCTGTTTTAATTTTTACCATATTAAAAAAATTGGTTATTTCCTTTTTAACAGCATCAGGAGTTTTTTTACAAGGGGCAATATCCCCCTTGATATCGGCAAGATGTTTCTTGAACCGGTTTATGCCCCCATTTGTATCCTTCTTACAAAAATTGCATAAGATGCAATTTTTTATCATTAGGATCTAGGTTGTAGCTATATTTCCTATCGGGATCACCACTTCTATTAAATCCCGAAGAAGACATCTCAAATAATGCAATTTATATAAGCAAAAAAAAAAGATCACTTACTTTGCGTTTGATTGCTCAATCACCAAACTTCCACCTTAAAGATGCTTCTAAATACCCAAAATCTTCTAAAACACCCCCTAATAGATTTATAAAACATAAAAAATCAAATCTAATATCAATGTGTTATGTTTTGATCAATTTCTCATAACTTTGAGAAACCCTTCGATCTTAAAGAAATCACTAAAAAACTAGTTTTTTTGGAGGCTTTCTCTCTCTAAAATGGGTTTTTTTAGATTTCAAATGAACTTAAAACCCCCATTTTTGGCCCTTTAATATAAAAAAAATGGACAAAAATGCCCCCACAGAAAGCTATTTCTGCCTCTGGGCGGGGTGCTATGCCCAGGTCTATGCGTCGGGCGGCCGCCTAGGCAATTTTTTGGGTGCCAAGGCGGGCACCCAGGAACCTCCACTTTTTTAGGGCGCCTAGGCTTAGGCGATGCTCCCAGACCTTAGATCCACCTAGGTGGCCGCCTAGGCATTGGGCGGTCCGCTTTTTGAATCACTGATTGTACCCTATTGAGTCTACTCTAGTCTATGAGACATGGGTCATGGTTGAGTTTCAATTTCTTCTATTTATTTTTGAAATCACTTGACGGAGTTCCATGAACCTTTGAAATGCATGTCTATACAAATTAGATATAGAAAAGCTATTTCCACACGGTCTACAACAAAAGTACTTTTTGGGTGACTAACTAATAGAAAGTTAGGAAGTGGTATTTTTATTCTTTTACCTTACAAGCAACAAGATCGTTTTGATGTAACCCTTTTTGAGTCAGGCTTGGGATCCTCGCAAGTTTATTCAAGTTCATATAAAACATTGTCTGCAAGTTTATTCAAGTTATTGAAATTTATCCTTGTTTTTAGCGGAAACATTTTCGCTTCCCTTAATTAGTCAAATTTGGTCATGCGACGCTATGCTACTAACATGCCCAAAGAGTTGGTTTACTATTCACTTTTAGGGTGTCTTCCAATGACAAGGGAGGGTGATGTGAAATTTTTGTTTGACCATCTCTATGACACCTACACCTTTGTCACTAGACTAGACCTTCCAACTCAATTAGGTCTGCAAGTATAGTTCACCTTTGTAAGGTGTAGCTTGTGTTCTTCAGTGGGCTGTTCAATTAAAATTCCACCAATGAGTGAATGTTTTCAGAGAAAGATGCTGAAACAGCCTTTAACAGGTTTTTTTGCGTCATATTTTTACAATATTGAAAATAGGAAGCTCAACTGTTATTTATTTAGATATTCATAGTTTCTTCTATTTTCTCTATGCCACACTGCAAGAGAAACTACATCTTTAAAGTTTAGCTGCTGAATGAGGCAGTGCAAGAAGCCAAGAAGGAGCAAGCAATACTTTGTAATCCTATACAATTCTTGACCAAATAATAAGAAACTATAAATTTCACATCCAAATGTACAATATCTTTAAAGTTGAACTACCAAATTGCCAAGCACATATTATACTGTGAAGTGCAATCTACTGCATGTAAACTAATGATAACAACTCATCTAAAGTGCAATCTACTGAATTCCATGTCAAATATAGGCTTTCAATGCCTTGAAACTGAATCTGAAGACGATAGAGCAATATACGAAGCCATAATGAAGAACAAGACAACCAACCAAAGTTACAAAGATTCTTCAAAAAATAAAGGTTTATAGAAGCATTAGGCAGCATGACTGGCCTTCTACCTCTGTTCTCATGCGCTAAAAATCTCAGGTACAAATCTTCCCATGTGAGCTTCTGACCTTTGCCAGCTGAATTATGTTTTATATGCGATAATGAACCCCAACACCTCAATGAGAAAGAAATTTCCAAGGAACACCAAGTATCCATGAAAGTTTTAGATTATTAGGGGCCGTTTGGATCCATGGAAAAAGATTGTCTGGAAAAATCCCTTTGAAATATATTTTATGTGGAAAAGTACTAATAAAATATATTTCTGCTGTTTGGATGGTACATGGATGCATAACTTTTCTATGGATTCTTTTTAAGAGAAAAAACATGAGATACTTTTTTAGGACTTTGGCTCAATGAAAATCAAATTGATTTTGGGCATCCTTATGTCATGTGGTCACTAAAGTGGGGAAATGGGACTAAATATGCCCCTCCCAACCCACAGCCCTTATCGCTTCGTTCTCCCGTTTCCTATTAAACGGGAAGGCCTCAACACATGGAGAGAAGAAAAGGGTTGGGGGAGAGAGGGTGAGAGAGGTCTTTGGAAGCATCTTGACTCGTCTCAAAGAAAAGTTTAGTTTGGACATGTAGAGAGGTATCACAATTGAAGATGATAGAGATGGAGGCTGAATAAATTCCATTTTGAGAGAGGTTTTAGGTGTCTGCTTGGATTTTAAAAGTGATCCTGTAGGTCCTTGTCATTGTTTTTGGTTGCAAACTATGAAATTGGTGATAAGTTCTGCAGTTCAATAATTTTAGGGTCGGATGGCAATCTTTTAGCATTTTTTAGGTTTGTAGTTGTTTTTTTCAGAAATTTGTCGAAAGTATTTTTGGTTTCCCTCAAGTTGCAAAGGTTTAATGGCATTCTTTTGCTTTGGGAATGATCAAAGATCGGGTGGCAGTTTGGTGAGATTATCAATCTTTCTGACAAGTTTGGTGGTGGTTTTACTGAATTTAGGCTTTGTTAAGGTGGTGTTGCCCAAGTTGCTCATGGTTGATGGAATTTTCTTCAATGTGAATGATTAGAGGCAGAGTAAAGGTTTTGTGATGTGAAAGATAGTAATGCCTTTTTTGAGAAGAAAATTTTGGATGTGGTTTAGTTTGAAAGATAGTATTGGTTTTTTTGAAAAGAAAATTTCGGATGTGGTTTAGTTAGACAACATGCTTCTGAAAATGGTGACCATTTTGAATATCTTGTCTCGATGACACATCGAGACATTTTTAGTTGCAGTGATATTCCTCTCTATTGATTACAAGTAGAGGATGAATTCATGTACTCAAAAGTGAAAGTTGTGCATGTTGTCTTTCCATCGTAAGCTATCTATTATTTTCATTCTTTTTTTCCTTTCTCCGAATAAAAAGTTGTTTCTTTTTTTTTGGATATTTTAGCAAGGGAAATCATGCTATACCTTTCTCTCTAAGGCCCCATCCACTTTCTCTCTAGTATAGAATCACTAAGGATGCCATATAAGTAATGCGTTTTTTTTTCTTTTGTTTTTTTAAATAATAACTTTTACATAGGCCATGTTTTTGTTATTGTATTTACATGTTTTTATTTACCCATGTGTTTCAACAGTTTGCAAGAATACAAGACCACAACTAACTTGGACGATCCTCTTCCAGGCTTTTCTTTGCGCGCTTTTTGGGTTCGTCCGATTCATTTTTGCATTACCATATAGTATAGCTTTTCTTTTCATATATAATAAAATTAAAGTTCTTATGCTAAGGGATATATCGAAAGTGACTAGTACTCGAAGTGCATGTTATAGGTCAAGGGTTGGAAACATTACCTTTGAAGTTCGTCTAAGCACTTTGACTAAGCATCTCACCTAGCCTTTACCTTCTTTCAATATTAGATTAATAATAAGTACATAGTTAGTGTATGAATTCCTTTATATGGATATGCAATTGTTATTAAATAGTTAAAGTAATAAATATATTGAAACTTAAACATGTATTCTAATGCATGACTGTAACATGTATGCATTTCAGGGAAGCTATTTTCCAAAATTTGCACATTGCTGGGTTGAAGCTTACCACTGCCACTTTCGATTGTGTGGTGACTAATCTACTACTTGCTTTGACATTTATATTGGGCTTATTAGTCTACGGTAATATCATCTCTCTGTTGTCGATGTCCATAAAAATATTTTGGGATTTGAGTCTTGCCTTTTTCTATATTTTTCTTTTGGGAAAATTACATACATATCCGTTATAGTTTTCGTTATTACGCCTCTATCGAATAACTTCCGTTATTACCACCGTGTCCGTTTTTTCATGTCGAAACGGATTTTTTTTAGAAAAGATAATTTTACCCTTTTTCGGTTGTTGAACAACCGAATTCGAAGTATTATCGGTTCAACAATCGAAAACGGGGCATATTTTGGTTTTTGAATAACCGAAAATTTAAAATTTTTGGTTCTACATGAATCGAAATCTTTTTTCTCTTGCGGGTGTGCGTATCCTCTCTCTACCTCTCTCTCTACATTACATGGGTAAAAATGTTTTTTTTTTTTGACTCTCTCTCCCCTTCACCCAGCGTTCTTTTTTTTTTGGGCAAGTTCATAATCCCTGAGATTTCTCCTAAATTTAGGGGCTCAAACTAGATGTACTCCCTGATTTTATTGGATAATCATGACTTCAAAGAGGTAGAGAGAGAATATGCCATAAGATTTCTCCTAATCTTCTAATCTCATAATCCCTAAGTTTTCTCCTAAATTTAGGGGCTCAAACTAGTTGTTCCCCTTTGATTTTATCAGATAACTATGACTTCAGAGCGGTAGAGAAAATACGCCACAAGAGAGAGAAAACATTTTTCGGTTCTTGAAGAACCGAAATTTTAAAATTTTCGGTTCCTCAAGAAATTGGTGTATTTTCGGTTGTTGAACAGCCGAAAATACTTTGAATTTGATTGTTCAACAATCGAAAAAGGGTAAAGTCATCTTTTTTTTAAATTTCCATTTTGACATGAAAAGAATGGACACGGTGGTGATAACCTAAACTATTCGGTAGAGCCGTAATAATAGAAACTATAACGGATATGTATATAATTTTCCCTTTTCTTTTTATAGTTCTGCCAAGATTTGAACTTGGGACATAACATTGCATATGTCGCAACTTCATTGACAAAAGTTATGTTTGCAAAATTGTAGTTACTTCTACCATATTCTAGTGAAAGGTATAGGTTATAGAAAGCATGAAAAGTAATTAAAGTTTTGGGCACTTGGGCTGAAGAAAGAACAACACTAATGTTTTGTCTTTAAGGTGGGAAAACCTTATATTACAATTTATCTTTTCCTTAGTGTATTTGTTTTGTGTTGATTTAGGGGCAAATGTTTATTTAACTTTGCTTCAAAACCGGCCCCCTTCTAACATTCCACCTAAAAGATGAATTTAGGATCTGACTCAAGATATATTTCTGTTTTAGTTCCATGATTTTGCAACTCAAAATTTGAAAGACCTAGGACGAATTAAAATGAGAATGAAAGTTTATAGTAGGTTTTAAGATTGGTAATCTAATTTTCATTTTCCATTTCAAATTTATGATCGTGGTGGTCAAGATAAGTGTTTCATAGCTTATCTCGGCCAAGGTACTCGGTCTTTGGCCAAGGCAAGTCGGAGTCAGCCGAATTATGTGTACCACTTTTACAATGTACACAGATCAAAAAAGAAAGAAGTGAAAAATTATAAAAATTTATAAAAAACTAGGAAAAGCATTTAGAGTTAATAGAAATCATTAGAAGGCTTTAGAGGATGAAAAAAATATAAAGTCTAGGCTATAGAAAACTTTGATTTGTGTCTTGAATATTTCAAAAAATTAAAGAAAAAGGAGAAATTATGAAAGATCCCAAATCATCCTAAAATCTATTGGAATCATCAAAAAAATCATTTCTAAGCACTATATTGGTTATTTTTATATTTTTTTTCACTTGTACCTAATTTTTAAGGGGCCTTTTGTGGTGGGCTTATTGGAATTTAAGACCTCGCCCCGCCATTAGGGCGAGGTTTTGTTACTCAAGTGGACCCAACGGGGTCATGAAACGCTAGTCAAGATTACAGTTATTTGAAATTTTAGTCTTAAAAATGATTTTTAAGATAGTTTTCAAAACTGTATTTGAAATGGTGCATCATTTGAGACTTTAGTCTTAAAAATGATTTGAAATGACTTTCAGAATCGTGCATCAGCTCACACACTAGAATCCGGTCGTTTTAAACTTTCATGAATAATACCTAGTCGCCTAACACTTTGAATGCTATAGAATGAAAACAACCAATTCAGTTTGCTTTGTTTATTTTTTATAATATTTTTTATTTTATTTTTAGGCTTGAGAAACTTCCACATGATCAGCATTGGCTAGCCAAAATGGTGGGCAGAATTGGTAAGTTGGAGTATGATACAGTGAGTTCGAGTGGACACATCCATTCTTGCGTTATGAAGAATTGGTAAGTCGAAGTATGATACAGGTAGAAAGTGTGAGTTTGAGTGTACACATGTTATCCCTTTTAAAAGGGAGCCGCCAACACCCTCATACTGTCACTCATGTACACATTTAATCCCTTTTACAAGGGAGAGGCCAACACCCTCATACTCTCACTCAGGCCAGCATTAATATAATTATGGGTGGCTGAAGGTTTTATTGAAAAAAGAGCATTAATATAGTTATGGGTGGCTGAACGGTTTATTGAAATGAGATAATAGAAGATGTGGCAGAGAACTACCTTGAAGAATTGGTAAGTCGAAGTATGACACAGGTAGAAAGTGTGAGTTCAAGTGGACACATCCATTCTTGTGTTATGAAGAATTGGTAAGTCGGAGTATGATACAGGTAGAAAGTGTGAGTTCGAGTGGACACATCCATTCTTGTGTTATGAAGAATTGGTAAGTCGGAGTATGATACAGGTAGAAAGTGTGAGTTCGAGTGGACACATTCGATCTCGTGTTATGAAGATTTGGTAAGTCGGAGTATGATACAGGTAGAAAGTGTGCGTTTGAGTCGACACATCCATTCCCTTGTTATCCCTTTTATAAGGGAGTGACCAACACCCTCATACTTTCACTCATGCAGCTAACTTATACAGTATGTTCGACCCTGAAGATTACGAGATCAGAGGAATGACATTAATACAATTATGGGTGGCTGAAGGGTTTATTGAAAAGAGAGAATAGAAGATGTGGCAGAGAACGACCTTGAAAAATTGGTAGAAAGGGTTTATTGAAAAATTGGTAGAAAGGGTTTAATACAAGTATGGGTGGCTGAAGGGTTTATTGAAAAGAGAGAATAGAAGATGTGGCAGAGGACGACCTTGAAAAATTGGTAGAAAGGGTTTATTGAAAAATCGGTAGAAAGGGTTTATTGAAAAATCGGTAGAAAGGGTTTATTGAAAAATCGGTAGAAAGGGTTTATTGAAAAATTGGTAGAAAGGGTTTATTGAAAAATTGGTAGAAAGGGTTTATTGAAAAATTGGTCGAAAGGGTTTATTGAAAAATTGGTAGAAAGGGTTTATTGAAAAGAGAGAATAGAAGATGTGGCAGAGGACGACCTTGAAAAATTGGTAGAAAGGGTTTATTGAAAAGAGAGAATAGAAGATGTGGCGGAAGGGTTTATTGAAAAGAGAGGATGGAAGATGTGGCAGAGGACGACCTTGAAAAATAGGTAGAAAGTGTGAGTTTGAGTGGACATGTCCGTTCATGTGTTATGCATGATCTATTGCATGACATGTGCTTAAGAAAAGCCAGGGAGCAGAACTTCGTGGGGGTAGTTGCATGTAAGGATAACATGCCCTCTCAAAGGTCTCAACCTCTATCCTTCTTTCAAGGTATCGATGACCATGTTTCATCCCATAAATCTCCTTCCAAAATTTGTTCATTCCTTTTTTTGTCACGACATTCAAGATCCCTATCCAGTTCCAAACGCTGTTTATACAATGCTAAGTTAGTTCGTGTATTGTTACTTGAGAATATTACACTTGAATACTCACTAAATGAATTGGGAAGTTTAGCTCTTCTGAGTTGTTTGAGTTTTCAAGGTAGCGTTATTTGTGGAGAGATTCCAAAGTCCATACGAGATCTTCCACACTTGGAGGTGCTTGATTTGAGAGTGGAAAGTTTTCATTACCGTAGGACTTGGAAATTCTTAAATTCAAGTCGGAGCCTGGAGTTGCCAAGTTTGAGACACTTTTATGTGTATGGCAATGTTATACGTGTGCAACGAATGCTTTTAAAGGCAGGGAGTTCGAGATTCGTCCAGACATTATGGAGTGTAATGGCTGGGTTCATCTGAGAGGTGCTGTGCAATTTCACGTAACTCAGGATACTACATATTATTAATACGGAGGTAAAAGACATTAGAGCGATCTACAAGTCTGTTGCCCTGCTAAAATGCTTGCGTTCTGCATTTCTACATGCAAAGGATGATTCCTTCGAAACATTGCAGTTTCAAGCCCACCAATGCCTTTTGAGAAATTGGAATTATGGGGAAGGTTAGGAAAGCTACCAAGCTGGTCTGGGAGCCTTACAAGCCTTAACCAAGTTGGTTTTATGGCAAAGTAAATTGAATGAGGAGGGTTTCTTGAAGTTCCAAGATTTGCGGCAGCAGCTAAAAGAACTATATTTACTTGGCAATGCAATGCGTACGTGGGGAAGGAGATGCATTGCCTTGCTGGAGGCTCTCCTTGACTCCAACACTTGGAACTTTCATTTTTAGGAGAGTTAGAGTGGGAGAGATTGGTGGAAGGATCCATGCCATGCCTTCAATCTCTGGAGATCACGGTTTGTTGCAAATTGAGGGTGCTTCCAGAAGGGTTAGAGCACGCTTCTACCCTCAAAACGAGTGTATTGTTCTCAGTTTTGTAAAGAATTTAGTGGGAGTGTTAGTTAGATCATGCCCCAAATCTTTGGCTCAAAACCATAAGAGATAATAGTCGTCAAGAATGGAATGGAAACGTGCAGTGCAGCCCTTTTGATTCGCAATTTCTTCAAATGCTGCCTGCATAGTATTCTATGCGAGTAAGTGTGGTGTTAGGTTTTGTATTGCAATTTGGCATGATAACAAAGTTGAATGCGTCATGCCTTCAATAATTTAATTTAGGGTTATAGATGCATTTTTAGATAGTGCACCAAAGGAAAATAATAAAAAATATTTTAGACAAATGAGTGAGTTGGCCCCTCAATTGTTTCAGGGGGCTTTTGGTCAGCTTTTTCTATTCGAAATATTTTGTATACTCTTATTTGTTGCGCCCTTAAAAAATGGTTAAAGTTTGTATAAGGTGCCAACCGTATACCGTACCATACAAGTTAGGCGCACCGCTAAAGTTTTCCGGAAGATGTAGTTCGCTAGTGCCGAAAAACTTATGGTCGCTTGAAAATCCATGTTTACCCTATTTACGAAATTTGAAACTCCAGAAAATATGACGCTTGAAAATCTTGAAAATAGTTAAATCACTTGTTAGAAAAATTACCTTTTGAACATGAAGTTGTTGAACATGAAATTCTACTTTATTTTTATTTTTTAATACCGAACATCTGGATGTCAAGGTGATTAATAAGATAGTTTTCCAATCTCGGCACTCCTTTCTATTGGATTTTTGAGGTGCACATTGCTTTTTATACTATAGTATAAGGTTGCAATATTATGTAAACTTTTTTCTTTGAGACATACATCTATACCCCAACTTTTAATTACGGGTGCAGTTGGCATACGAGTGCATTTGTAGCTGTAGGGGTAAGGTGCACCTTCAACTTTTATCATGAATTGTTTTTAGGATTATCTCAAAATCTATTTTTATATTAATTATAAAATTTTAAATTTTAAATATGATTAAAATCAAGTAGATCTAAACATATGAAAATCTTGAGAATGGACGGTGTAGATAATATGTTGTAAAATGCACTTTTTATTTTTCATGGTCATACATCTCGACATCAAAGGGTTTTTCAACATTAAAACTACTTTTTTCGATGGATTTTTAAGGGACATTTGTAGTTCTACATTATAAGGTTGCATCCTTATATAAAATTTTTCTTTTAATAAATTAGTTTTAATGACAAATAAAATAGAAAATAAATTTTTGCCATTGGATGATGCTGGGTATAATCTGAACAACTGAAGGGTGGTTGGGCACTCTTCAAGCGTCCAGGTAATGTGGATGTTGTACCAATAATTTTGCCATGTGCTCTCTTTCCATCTGTAGTTCTACATTATTAATGTTGTAATACATTACTAGCATAATACATTATCTGAAGTTTTACATTATTAATGTTGTAATACATTACTAGCGTAATATATTATCTGAAAATATTACGTGGAATATTGAATTTCTGTTTACAAGGAAAATTAAGGGAGGTCTTATTTTGAAGAGAGAGTAGCCAAGCATGTAAATCACAATTAGGCGAGCATTATGGAAATAGAAGAAATTGGAATCCAAGTTATATGAAGTTATATGAAGTTGAGAGAGAGAGAGAGAGAGAGGAGGAGAGAGAAGAAATACGACATAGTAATACAACTAAGTAGGACGAGACTATTAGTAGGAAATAAGAAAGTAAATTACGTAATTACGTAAGTTATAGTAG